CAACCCAAGGCCCCCCCCAACCCCGTGACTCTCCCAACTCAGTGACTCTCCCAACCCAGTGACTCTCCCAACCCAGTGACTCTCCCAACCCAGGGCCCTCCCACCCCATGGCCTCTCCCATCCCATGGCCTCTCCCAACCCAGTGACTCTCCCAAACCATGGTCTCTCCCAACCCAAGGCCTCTCCCAACCCAGTGACTCTCCCAACCCAGCGACTCTCCCAACCCATGGCCTCTCCCTCCCATCCCAGGGTCTCTCAATCTTTCTTGACCTATTGGACCTCCTGGTTTTTATGTTTTATTGATAGATATTTTTTTCCCTAACCCGGCAACCTGTAATCATATTCCTGACCTGTTTCTAGCTTTATTTTCAATTGCAATTGAAGTTTGTACTTAACAGCTGTGCTCTTTCTAGAGCAGATACCACGCTGTCTATTGAAATGGAACACTGTGTTGCAAGTCGACTAGATGAAGGAGATGTCATCATTGTTTTTGCTACCACAAAAGTCAGGAGGAATAAAATGTGCTTTTAGTATAGTATCTAGTATACTTTTCTTCAAGCAATTTATGCCAAATATTTTGAATTAACAATTCAAAAATTCTTATGCAACTAAAGCAGCTGCAAGCTGAAATTCGGAATTTTTCTTGTAAGAGTTATGGGTCGTTCATGAAGGATATCCGCAAAGAAAGATGGGGCGGGGGGGGGGGATGGGGGGGTTTGTAAGTTCGAAAGCGGAGAATTGTGGGCGTGAGGGGATGTAAAGGCCAGAGGCGTAGCGAGAGTATTTGGCGCCCGGGGACAAGATCCATTTTAAAGCGCCCCTTTTTTCTTTTTTCAACTCTCAAACCAATTGTTTTCATCAATAAAATAATATTAAAGTACATTTTAGCGCCCCTAACTAGTAGCTGGCGCCCGGGGACATCTGTCCCCCCCTGCCCCCCTCGCTACGCCTGTGGTAAAGGATCTTGCAGACATCCGTAAGTATGGTGGAAAAATAACTATACGCTGCTTTAGGTCCACTATGTGCATTTCAGTATGCTTAATTTTTTTAAAAATTGCAAACGTCCTCTATGGCTGATCTATTTGCAAAATATTTATAATATTAAACAACCAAGAAGTTTTTTTTTGTGTTTTTGTTTTTGTTTTTTTTCATGAGGGAGATCACTCTAGTTGTTGTTCATCAATAAATGTAAATAATGTTCGTTGTGGCTTTAAAAAAAAAAAGTTTTCCCTAATTCTCTGTTTGACTCTAATCTAATGAATTGATATTATCAAACTTATTTAGCAGTTGACGCTTTTCTCGTATAATCGCTATTACGTCCGAAAACCCTGTTGGGGGGGGGGGGGGGGGGGGGGGGGNTTTCAATAGAGCCATTTCAATTTCAACTAGATTAGTTATAATGTTTTATATTATAACTAAAAAATATATTCCTGTTTTATTGGTTACACTGAGTTGTAATCATAAGACGGTTTTAAAATGTAACAAAAAAAAAAAAATCCAGTTTATATCAACCTGCAAATGTTATGTTTATTGAAGTGCTTTTGGATACACAATATTTGCAAACACACACATTGCCCTATTCAGTAATCATATGGGTCTGATTAAAGGCAGTCATGAGTCAGGTGATTTGCGAAAGATGGTTAAGTTAAGTTAAATATATAATTTGCTTGTTTTGCAAACTAGACTTACTCAGTTACGCTGGTTGCCAAACATACGAAACATATTTTTGCAGAGATTTATCTCCGTCATTTTTTATTACTAGTTTTTAGAGAGAAAAGATAGTTCATGCACATACATTAAATCATTATACGATAAAGCTCATGGTGTCAACGGGCTAATAGCTGGTTGTGAATGTTTTATCTTTATATGCTAGTGATCTCCCCTTAACCCTTGTAAACATGGTACAAAGGTTAGTTTTTTCGTGTTCTTTGATCTGTGTTATGTTAATAAACTGTAACCTTATACTTAAGCGAGTATATCACTTTACATGTTTGCTGTATGCTAAGCGATTATGTACTTAACTAAAAAAATTTAAAGGTGTTATATTTTAATATACAGAGTGGTAATTCACAAGGCTGTCAAATTTTGTCACATAGGCCCAACGCCTACGGCCTACGCAATTAGTCAATTAGTAATTAGAATATCGAAGTGGCTATTTTGTATTCGCACTCGGGTACCAGAAGTGAGAGGGATGGCTGCGACTATTCGCACCCGGGTACCAGAAGTGAGAGGTTGGGATTAAAAAACTATTTACAATATTATTGTTGGGTTTGTATGACAAAATGAGGTATCAAATGAAAATGAAAGATAATTGAATGGACTCTATAATAAAATATATATGATTATATGTTTGTAAACTTATTTCTTCAGTTTAACTAAAATAAACTACCACAAATTAAAATGATATCAGAATACTCAGAATAGCATTAGTAGTTACTTAGTTAATTAGACCCCTGGTCTACAGAAGAAAAAATAATTCAAAATAGAATCATAACATCTAACATAATTTTTTTCTCTTTATTTACAAATAAGCAACATGACAATGATTCATGATTATTACATTAAAATTCATCCTCTGTAGAATCTATATCCATGCTTCAGTGATCTCAATGACTAATGACTAATGAGTGACAATGTTAATGTTCTGTAGCCAAAGGTAGTTGAACTAGACCAAAATGTGAAACTCTAAAGATATATTTGAAAAAAACAACACTTGTTTTTTAAAAATTGAATTGTGTCACAATACAGCATACTCTAGTAGGAATATAATTTAAGCTGCCTTGTATATTTATAGTCTTCTTTAATGAAAGATCTAAACATCTATAGGCCTACATATTTTTTTAAGGAATTTAATCGTGCCTGATTTTTTTATATTAGTTAAAGACAGCTAGAATACCTTGAGAACACTATGAGTCAGAAACGTGTGGCTGTGATTGGAGCGGGGGCAAGTGGACTTCCTGCCATTAAATGCTGCCTCGACGAGGGGCTGACCCCGGTATGTTTTGAAAGAACAGAACATATTGGGGGCCTGTGGCGTTACACAGATGAGCCGGTGGATGGCCAGGGCTGTGTCATGAAATCAACTGTCATCAACACCAGTAAAGAAACAATGGCCTACAGTGACTTTCCAATCCCAGCCAAGTATCCCATCTTTATGCATAACACACAGGCAAGTTCACCTCAGTCTATATGCTGTGACACTCTCGTGTGTTCCCATAGGGTTAAATTGTAATTCAAGATTTGGATATATTAGGAATGGAAGTTGATGTAAAAATATTATTAGGTACCTTATTTATAATCCATCAAATCTTATACAAAATTTATTCTTTGTTTTTTACGCTGCTCCTAATTAATATTTCGTTTAATAGAAAATATTTTAAAAGTTGCTGCCATCTAATGATAAAAATTTTTGTGCTCCACACACACATTCAAAATGAAAATATGTCTCTGTAATTTTAAAATCTAACATGAACCATAAACTGTAATATCTACTATCAGTAATGCTTCTAATATCGGTGATGTCTGAAATATCAGTAATGTCTTTAGTATAATATCAGTAACAAGTAATTTTACCCAGCCAAATTATGCTAATATGTTTCAGGTGTATGAGTATTTCAAACTGTACGCTCAGAAATTTGACCTGGAGAAGTACATTCAGTTCAACACGGAAGTTCTCTATGTGAAAAGAGCTGATAATTTCTCCGAGCTGGGACAGTGGGAGATAAAGTATCGCAACAAGAGCACAGGGGAGGAGAAGACAGAAATATTTGATGGGGTTCTTGTCTGTACGGGACACCATGCAGAAAAAAATGCACCCACATTCCCAGGACTGAGCCAGTTTCAAGGAAAGGTAAGTGCTGTCTGGTCATAAGCTTATGTCATATCAAATCATCACAATGTAGGAAGAAAATGTTTTCATAAAAATGTGGCAGTGAGTTTAGCAGATGAAATTAGTTAACATTTTTATCCAATATTTTCCCAGGTTATTGAAACATTATTTACAGTGAATTTATAGTCAATCTATAGAATATTTATCTGAATACACACACTTAATGTTTCGAGTTTTTTACCTCAAAACTTTGTTGTTCCTTATTTTGCTGCTAAAGATGGCTTTTGGTCTAAACGTTCTCTTTTTATGGTACTGTTGAATCATTTTAGCATACCTAGTTCCACTATTTCCTTCACATAGCTTGAATGCAATCTGTCATTTATCATTGAATATGTTTGATAGAGTTAAAAAAATAATGTAATTTCTTTAATTAAAATTACGACTGGCATCATGTTTTTAAAAATGTGTATATGAAAAAAAATCTATTTGACTATATTCTATGTTAATTTCCCATCAGTAGATGATGTGATTCAGAAATGCAATAGCTGGTATACTTTTCTTTATTCAAAATTAATATACTCTTAAAAACTTAAATATTTCATCTAATCTTAATTGGATTTTTGTCTCCAATTTTTATTTTTACGTATTTTTATTTAAAAATGTAATACAAGAATCATACATAAATTGTAATTTTATCATTTATACTTAAAACTAGGTGGTCCACACACATGACTATCGTAAGCCTGATGGACTTCAAGACAAAAGAGTTCTAATAATTGGTATAGGCAACTCTGGAGGAGATGCAGCAGTTGAGCTCAGCAGGATTGCCTCCCAGGTCAATATTACTCTGTGAATGGCACTTACATAGATACTCATATGTGTATGTATGAATCATATGTCTAATCTACTGTGTGCATGGCGGTTACATATAATCTCATATGTGTATGTGTAAAAGACATAGGTAAAATTGCATTTTGAATGGATAACATATATTTGGTAAAATTGTGAATTTTGGTTTATAATGTGAACAAATCTTTTCACTAATTTGTTTTAAAAATAAATTTTAATTTAAATAAATATTGATTTATAAATTCGATCAGGTTTATTACTCATATTAATATTGGACACGTGGTTAGGTCAAACTTTTTTTTAAAAAAAAATAAAATTGAGGATTAATTTTTTAACTTTATTTAATTTGAGCTCTATTCTACCAGCTGCTGATTTCCTTATCTAACCCTATAGCTACCAGATTTATTATTTATTTATGCTGTATTGCCTGAAAGGGCAAGGATGTTTGAAATTTAGTTTTCCTTTGTACAAATTTGTTTTTCCCTTTCATATTAATTTAACTCTACAGCAGTCTAGAAAGGGACTAGCTGAAATTTCCTGTTAAACATAAGTTCATAAGAAGACAAAAAAGCCAATTGCTGCAAAAAGAAAAAAAAACAAACAGCTCACTGACAGAGCTTGAGAGCTGAGGAATCTAGGTCACTGTGACAAGGCTCACCAAAGCAGATCAAATTTTTGGAAAGCTGACATCCATATTGAGATGGATGTGACCTGAGCATGCACAACAAAATCAGAATTTTGTTAAAGTGATAACCTTGTTTTTCTCATCTTTGGATTCAGAATTTGTTTGTTTTTTGTTTGATCATTTTGGCTCCTGGTTTGAATTCCGAGTTTGCCTTCTCTTAGATGAGTTGCTGTTTAAGGCTAGCGGGTCCAAACCACCTGGGGTGCTTGGGATGTTTGCTTTGGTGGGGATTGAACTCCAGCTATTTGGATTGAGACAGTTTAGGCCGATCGGCCACCCAACTCCCAGTTCTGGCAGATCAGAGTGCTGGCAGATCGTTAGCACATCAGAACAGGAGCTAGAAGTTTGTCAGACAGAGTTCCTACATGTTTTCATACACAGATTTGAAATGCCAAAGATAACCTACAATGAAGCATTCAGGCGCCAGTCAAGTGTGACAACCATTGCAGAAACAGTGCAGGCAGGTCGCAGGAGATTGCCAGGTCATGTCTATAGAATTTCAGCAAGCTCACTTCTCAAGACAGCACCAACATGGACAGCACCAACATGGACAGCACCAACGTGGACAGCACCAACGTGGACAGCACCTACGTGGACATCACCAACGTGGACAGCTCCAATGTAGACACCTTCTACATGGACAGCACCAACATGGACAGAACCCACATGGACATAACCAACATGGACAGAACCGACATGGACAGCCAAAGGAAAGCAAGACAGCAAAAGACCTAAAGTGACCTGGGGCAGAATAATAAATTAGAAGGGAATCTGTCTAAAAGAAGCATGACCTTGTAGACAACTCTAAAAGAAGCATGACCTTGTAGACAACTCTAAAAGAAGCATGACCTGTGGACAGCTCTAAAAGAAGCATGACCTTGTGGACAACTCTAAAAGAAGCATGACCTTGTAGACAACTCGAAAAGAAGCAGTTGATAGGCAGAAGTGGCCTTCTTTGTGCGGTTGCTAAGCAGAAATGGCCCTTTTGCGGTTGATTGGCAGAAGTGACCTTCTTTGTGCAGTTGATTGGCAGAAGTGGCCTTTTTTGTGCGGGTGATAGGTAGATGTTCCCTACTTTGTGCAGTTGATAGGCAGATTGGCATTCTTTGTGCGTTTGAAAGGCAGAAGTGACCTTCTTTATGCAGTTGATATAGGGGCAGAAAATGTTGAGTTTAATTTCAAATTCATAAATATTTTAAACAAACTTTGCTGAAAACTATATTCAGAATTTTCAACCCAATCTCTTTTATTTGTCCAGGTTTTTCTCAGCACCAGACGTGGCACCTGGATATTGCACCGAGTGGCTGCCGAGGGTTACCCCTTAGACATGATATTTGCTAAGCGTATATATGTGTTGTTACAGCAGTACTTTCCGAATCTAATCAGCAAATTCATGAAGAAAGACATTAATAAAAGAATCAACCATGACCTATACAGGTAGGTTGTGTGAATAAATTCAGGCAGTGCTGCCCCAAGTACAATGTTTTAAGTGATTAAGTTATTAGTCAACAGTTTGTGTACCACATGCTTGGTGTATTTCCAGGTTAAGTACCACATGTGGTATATTGCCAGGTTAGGTACCCCATGTGATGTATTGCCAGGTTAGGTACCCCATGTGGTGTATTGCCAGGTTAGGTACCACATGTGGTGTATTGTAAGGTTAGGTACCACATGTGGTGTATTGCCAGATTAGGTACCACATGTGGTGTATTGCCAAGTTAGGTACCACATGTGGTGTATTGCCAGGTTAGGTACCACATTCTTGGTGTATTGCCAGGTTAGGTACCACATGGAGTGTATTGCCAGGTTAGGTACCACATGGGGTGTATTGCCAGGTTAGGTACCCCAGGTGGTGTATTGCCAGGTTAGGTACCCCATGTGGTGTATTGTCAGGTTAGGTACCCCATGTGGTGTCACACCAGGTCAGGTAGCACCCTTGAGTAAGTTATTTACGTTCGTGCCAAGAGAGGGAAAGGGCTGTGCCAGCTGTCAGTGAGAAGAAAAGCATTAAAAATCAGCAGAGAGTTATCGAGGCATGTGGTTCTGGTAGCACCATAGCACTCTGTTAGAGAGTTATCGAGACATGTGGTTCTGGTAGCACCATAGCACTCTGTTAGAGAGTTATCGAGACATTTGGTTCTGGTAGCACCATAGCACTCTGTTAGAGAGTTATCGAGACATGTGGTTCTGGTAGCACCATAGCACTCTGTTAGAGAGTTATCGAGACATGTGGTTCTGGTAGCACCATAGCACTCTGTTAGAGAGTTATCGAGACATGTGGTTCTGGTAGCACCATAGCACTCTGTTATTAGCATCTGTAATGTTTGAGGAATAATGTCTTTTAATAGCTCTGTTCTCATATTCCTTCAGCCTGACCCCTGACTATGATGTCTTTCAACAACACCCAATGGTCAACGATGACATGCCCAACAGAATCATCTGCGGCGCCATCAAGATCAAAACTGACATCAAACGTTTCACTGAGACGGGGGTCGAGTTCATCGATGGCACCAAGGAAGATAACATTGACGTGGTTCTTCTGGCCACAGGCTACACATTCGGTTTCCCATTCATTGATAAAGAGGTAACACTGAATTTTAGTGAGTCGCTATATAGTGCTACACATTCATTGATAAAGAGGTAGCACTGAATTCCAGTGAGTTGCTATATGGTGCTACACATTCATTGATATAGAGGTAGCACTGAATTTCGGTGAGGTTCTATATAGTATAGTGCTACACATTCATTGATATAGAGGTAACACTGAATTTTAAGTGAGTTGCTATATAGTGCTACTCATTCATTGATATAGAGGTAGCACTGAATTTTGGTGAGTTGCTATATAGTTTAGTGCTACACATTCATTTATATAGAGGTAACACTGACTTTTAAGTGAGTTTCTATATAGCGCTACTCATTCATTGATTAAGAGGTAGCACTAAATTTCAGTGAGTTGCTATATAGTACTACACATTCATTGATATACAGGTAAAGTTGAATAGAGCTGGGAATTTTATTCCAGCCTAATTTAACTCGTGGAATTATTCCAGGCCAAACACTTTTACTAAAAATTTCTAGTTTACTCAGAAATATTATGTTGCTATTTTAAGCAATGATATTATTACATCCAAACTTGTATTAGTCACAGTAGCGTGAATTTTTCTCATAAAGTTTTGACTGTGATTGTTGAGTGGGGCACACAAAGAATTAAATGACATAGAATAAATAAGGAAAAAGTGTTTGTGTTTTGGAGCGTCACTTCAGGTATGAAAAGAAAGGGGTTGGCTTCCCATTTGTTTGTTGCTGGCATCCTTCCGTCACAGTGTGACGATGGTGTGGACTTTGCAGGAGGAAATCCACAAGGCCTGGGATCATTCTTATAGGATTAGAAGCTGGTTCCCAGCAGCTAAATGGCCTCTCTCCACGCCGCTGGATAACCCAAGGAAGATCATGTGGATGATACAGCTTGGCACCAGTGGCGTCACAGGAGTTGTCGGAATGTTTCATTGTGTCAATGTTATTCGCCTACGGTGCTCCATCTCTGGGTTTGAATTAAGAGTTTCCTTCTCTTAGATGAGTTGCCGTCCAAGGTTAACGGGTCCCATTCAGCCAGGGTGCTGGTGGTGTTTTTGCTTGACTGGGCATTGTTGGGGATTGAACTCTAGACCATCAACTTGAGATTTGCTCAGTTTAGACCACTCTGTGAGGCTTTTTATTGTAGGAAATATTCACTAATGCCAGTGTATTCTTAAACCGTTGTTGAAACTTTTTTTTTTATTTACCATCATTTCAGGTGTGTGCTAAATCTATTCTTTTTAATATCAGATCATTGATGTCAAGAACAACAGAGTCCAGCTGTACAAGTACATGTACCCGCCTGACATTGAACACAACACCCTGGCTGTGATTGGCTGCTTTCAGCCCCTGGGGGCCATCATGCCCATCTCTGAGATGCAGTGCCGCCTAGCCACACGTGTCATCAAAGTAGGTCATTGTAGTTTTTTTTCTTGGAAACATTCGGTCAAGACATCTTCCCAGGTAACAATGATGAAAACATTTAGATTCCATGGGAAGTACATAGTGGCATGTTTTTTTTTGAAAACTTTCGTAAAATAATGTTACATTTGATAGAAAATTTGTTGTGAAAATCATAACCACCAATGTCCTAATGATAAAAATAATATTTACGACACTGATGGGGAAATTGTGACAGAAGGATATTGTTATGGCATATATGTAGGGCTAATTTTAGCCATGATCACTTTTCTCCCAGTTTTTTGTTTTGATATTGACTTAACCCATTAATTTTGTGTCACTCCTTTTTTTACCCGCACCTCCCATGATTGGGAAAAGGTTGTTTACATTTGAATATGTTCTATTTGTTCTAAAGTGTTCTATTTGTTCTAAAGAATGCCAGCAGGTGACTCTATTTCTAGATTTTCTTAACTAGATGTTTCTGATTTAATGCCTATATATAGCCCAGTGGCTTTCCTAGCCAGCAATGACATTTTTGCTATATAATCTCAAGTCAGATCTAGTCTCAGGAACTTTGTCTGAACAATGTTACCCTTGGACAGCATCTCGTTACGTTTAGGAAATGAATTAGGTGGTGGAAATCTAATAGCTTATCCCATCCTCACTCTAAATGAATCTCAAGAGGAAGATCCAGAGTTATACCCAGCCAGGATCATGAGTTCAAACATCTCAGAAAAAGGGATTTCACTTTTTTCGCATGTCTCAGTGAAGAGTCAAATAACCCAAGACACCAACTTGACCTATTCATGCAGCTTATCGAGGAGCATAAGAGTGATCAAGAAATTGCTAAACTTTGAGAGAACATTTTGATCCAAGAAGAAGTTGAACGTGTTCCTGTATGCTACTACTCACGAGATGAAATACTTGTGAGAATATTTTGACTTCCAGATGCGGCAGCTGATGAAGAATGGAAGGTTTTTCAGCATATAGTAGTTCCTACCCCTTCCTTGAACAACATACTGAACTCAGCTCATGACTCACCACTTTCAGGTTATTTGGGAGTAAACAAGAATTATCACACAAAAAACATTGCACTATTTTGGCCCAAATCAAATAAGGATGTAGTTGATTACTGCAGATTCTGTCATGCTTGTCAAGTGGTAGGAATCAACATGTGACTGCCACCAGAGAAGCAGTTCAAGAATCACTTGGATTCAGCTCCTTTGAACTGGTGTTTGGCCGTATGGTTAGCAAACCCCCTTAAACTTTTGAAAGATACATGGATGTCACTGACACCTACCAAAAAAGTTTATGATTATGTATATCAGAAGTACTACCCAACTTAAATGAAAAACAATGACATAAATCATTAATAATAATAAAGCTTATTTGAAAATCACGCTTGATCCCCAAGGCTCAAAGCGCTGTAAAAAGTCATCCATATTAAAAAAAGACATGAAAAAATCTATATTTTACCACATTGAAATACAAAACGCAACATTACAAAAACTACATACAAGAATACCCATTCTAAGTCTTTCATCCCTTGCAACCATAAACAAAACAGGCAACTATACATCTAGGAGATAATAGCTAGCTGGAAAAGATGGTTGACAAATTCACCCCAAAAGGTGTTTATGAAATAGATATGTTTTCAAATCGGTTTTGAAAGACTCCAGCGTTTGGCTGTTTCTGAGAGCCACAGAAAGTGTGTTCCAAATTGTTGGGCCAGCAAATGCAAACGTGCACCTTCCATAAGTCTCAAGGCGAACACGTGGTATCGACAGTTTGCTACTATCGGATAATCGGAGTTGTCTAGTGGGTACATAAGGCGTCATGAGTGCTTTGAGATAGGATGGCACCAGGTCATGCAAGCAGTGCTAGCACAGAGTTGCAATTTTGTACTCAAGCGACTGCGAACCGGCAGCCAATGCAACTCTCTCAGAAGTGTTTTAGCATGGTCAAATTTGCGTTTGCGAAAAACAATGCGAGCCTCATTATTCTGTACTTTTTAAATTTTATCCAGGAACGTATCTGGAAGACCCACCATGAGAGCATTGCAGTAGTTCATTCGTTATGGCACGAAGGCAGACATCAGCCTCTTTGTTGCGTCAAATGTTAAGAAAGGTCTGATATGACTAATTCTTCGCAGCTCTAGAAAAATCACCTTGCAAATCATGCTAATGTGATTTTCCATAGATAGGGTTCTGTCCAAGTAGACACCCATGTTTCGCACTGTTTGAGTAAATTCAATCTGTATACCTGAGAAAGAAAGGGGTGGTGTGTTATTTACAGATTTTAGCTTTTGAGCGGTAACAATGGGGATCAGCTCGGTATTTTCTTCTTTCAATTTGAGTTTGTTTATGTTCATCCAGTGCTTAACTGACAACACTGTCTTCTGTGTCATACTAAAAATCTGAGGGAACTGAGAGGGTTTCACAGATTGCTTAAGTTGGGTATCATCCTCGAACATGTGATAGAGCATATCAAACTGCTTGATCACTGCACCCAAGGGCTGAACGTACATAGTGAAAAGCACCGAACCTAGGACCGAGCCCTGAGGTACTTCGAATTCAATAATAGATTGCTTCAAGGTCAAGCTGTTTGCGATAACCGATTCCACCCGATTTGTCAAATATGAGCGGAACCAACACAGGACGGTATCGGTGAAACCGAAAGTTTTTTGCAGATGTTGTAGAAGTATGCCATGGTCAAGCGCATCGAATGCTGCCGATAGATCAAGTAACAACAAAAGGGATACCCTGCCCTCACCACAAGAGGACAGAAGGTCATTTACTACAAGCAACACGGCTGCCTCAGTATAAAATATATTGTTAAATCTGTCAATACAGATTTTGTTTTACTTTTTCTTGACGTACATTGAAATTATGTAGCTGCTTATTTTGTAAGTTGTTGAGCAATTTTTGTGAACTATTTTGTATGAAATAAATGTACTTACTTTTATTTTGGTAAAAGTTCTTTATTGGAAAAAGAAATCCATTTTGAAAAATGTAAATTCTTTTTTAAAGAGGGAAAGTGTTATGGCATATTATGTGTAGGGCTAATTTTAGCCACCAACACTTGTGTCCTCTTACAGTCAAATTTTAAAACAGATTAAATTTTCAAAACCATATAATGTACATAACTATTCCCACAGGGTGACACTGTCTTACCCCCAAGAGGCATCATGTGGCAGGATATACGAGAGAAAGAAGCCGCCATGGCCCAGAGATATGTGAAATCACAGCGTCACACCATTCAAGTTGATTACATTCCTTTCATGGATGAACTCGCCAAGTTGGTCGGATGCAATGTAAACTACTGTAAGTGCTTGAGTCCTGTATTGGGTTAATCTCTAATGTCAAAGATTTTTTTAAGTGTTTGACCCCCAAACTTGATCAGTGTCCAGTGCCAACTACAGTAAGTGCTTGATTACTAGACTTGACAGTATTGACTACTGTGTAAGTGCTAGACCCCTGTATTGAGTCAGTGTCCAGTGCCAACCACAGTAAGTGCTTGATCACTGGACAGGGTCACTGCCCACCCTTTGTTTATTCATGTGATTATTTCAGTTCTCACTTGTTTTCTCCTGTGCTTCAAATTTCTCTTAACCTTACTAAAAACTGTTGCAACAAATGTAACAAATTGTTCTGTAAACCAACTGTCATGTAAACAAACTGTCATGTAAATCTGTCTTGTAAAAGCTGTCATTATTTTATTACCATGACCAGGATACATTTTGTCAATGGGATGTAAAACTAATTTGAAGAACTTTATTTCAGGCGAGCTAATAAAAGACCCAGTTTTGGCACTCCACGCATTGTTTGGGACAGTAACTCCATATGTTTACAGGCTTTGTGGGCCTGGGAAGTGGTCAGGGGCACGTGACGCCTTTTTGACCCAATGGGACCGTACAGTTGCCCCTCTAAAAACAAGACCTTTGCCGTGTCGTGACAGAGCGAGTTGGAAGGATAGCTACCTCTTCAATCTAGGAGTTGTTTTAATTTTGTTTTTTATGATAAGATTTTTGTTTACCCTGTTATGAAATTGATTTCCAAATTTTTACCAAGACATTGGGGTGCTTAAATTGTAGGTTACACTTTCAACAAGTATAAGTGGCTAAAATGTTTTGATAAATTTCATATCCATGTAATATAAATGGCAGCAGAATAATATTAAATGTGATTTATTTTAAAAAATTACTGTTAATGTAACATTTGTGATTGTAATTTATGATTTATTCATTCTTGGAAATTGTATAATAATCTACGAATTTCTTTAAAAAAATTTTTTTAAATTGTTTACCTTAATAGCTTGACATAGTGTGAACAGATAATATCATTCAGTTCAATGAATAACATTATATTTGTATAAAACACTTGTTCATTTTGTGAATCACTTCACTGGCACTTGTAATTTTATATCTGACTCGTACTGCTGCCCATCATAAAGACAGAGATTAAAATCAGTAGAATATTTCAGATTTTGGCTGACCAACAGTCATCATTCTCTACAAAATTACAATCCAACTCTGGCAATTATCAGTAAAAAATGTTCATGGATTTTTTCATAAAACGAATATTTAAGATAAAGGCTCATCAACACTCATACTTCTCTAGGAACTAAGTGAGTTTAATATTTAAAAAATACACTTCCTTAATGTAATGGAAAAAGTGTGTAATTACAGGTGGTTAGGGTAAATCTAAGTATTTTATTGAGATAAACAATTTGTGTTAATAAAACAATATATTTTTTAAAAAAATATTTGAGGGCTCACAATCAATTTATTGAATATTCTGGCCCCTAGTTTGAACTCAGAGTTTGCCTTCTCTTAGATGAGATGCCATCTAAGACTAACGAGTCCCATCCACCCGAGGTGCTCGGGATGTTTTCTCTTGTCTAGGCTTTGGTGGGGATTGAACTCCAGACCACCTGCTATTTGGATTAAATTAGTGTAGACCACTCTGTTAAGCTTTAGTCATGGTTGCACATTATACAAACTCAAACATTGCTGCACATGCCTTCATCAGTACAACAAAAACATTAAAATAATTGTAAATTGATTGAATTCACATAATATATATATACATATATACACATATATATATACATAACCTACTTATATAATTATACTTAAAAAATAAGAATGGGGAACAAGTCCTCAATGAAAACAAAGATCAGAAGAATGGGAAAAGTGTGTAATGAAGATTGAACTGCCTGAAAATAAAACTCTGTTTTCAATGTTGTCTCTCTTGCAGTCAATCAACTTATAAATGTGCCATAAAAGTGTTGGATAACCTTTTCTTTAAAGGGGACGCTACTGTATATTCAGAAAATGCAATGCCTTTCAGCGTTAATTCCAGACAGAATCACAGTTGGAATTATGCTATTTCAATGATTAGGCCCCTGAAACTTAATGTCTCAATAATTTGTATAACATGATTATGATAAATTTAAAATTATGTACTGCTGATACTGGTTAGTTTTTTTAATTATTAACTTAATCCATTGCTCAGTGTTATTAATTAATTTGGAAATACCTTTTTTAATGTAAATTTACATTACATTTTTAATATTTAAAAAAAAATTTCATACCTGTATTTTTTATTTTTTTAAAGTGCTATAAATTTTATAAATTATATTTACATTAATTTGAAAATTATCCCAATATTTAAATGACATGCAACTACTTTGATGCATGATTTCTATTTATACTCTTGTTTGCTAATCAGACTTTGCTAAAATACTTCATACAAAATGTTAATATAATATAACATTTCAGCAAATTGTTCTTTGTTGTTATTGAATGTGATACCAAGATTTGTGTATTCTTTGTGGAGCACTTTTCATAGTTGTTTTTTTTAAACCATAATATTCTTAATTCTATCAGCTAAGTTTTCAAATGTTTGTGTATTTAATGTAAACTGCTCAGTGTGTTTGTCGAGAGACCACCACTGACATTTTTTTTTAAAGATATAAAGAAAAATTTTTAAACACTTTTATCTCTATGAGTGATTGTATTGTTGAGATGGAATTTAAATGAGATGAGTAAAGTTGTATGAAAACAATATTAAAAATACCTCTGAGAAAAGAATGCAATTCTTTTTTTTTTTTTTTTAAATTTAAAAAAATATAAACTCTTTAACAATTGTTTTATTTTTTTTTATACTAGTTTTTCTTAATATATTGTGTGTGAAATTTCAGAATATATATATGAGAAAAAAATGCAATTCTTTTTTTTTTTTTTTTAAATTTAAAAAAATGTAAACTCTTTAACAATTGTTTTATTGTTTTTGATACTAGTTTTTCTTAATAGATTGTGTGTGAAATTTCAGAATATATATAATATATAATTTAAAAGATGGTAAATGAAATTTTTTTTTTATTTGCTATATGTAATACTTGCTCCCAATCTATTATTTACTCACTTTCCTGGCAGTGATTTACAGAAAAATTGTCACCCTCTTAAAAATAAAAGCAAAAAAAAAAATGTAACAGGAAATGTGATTTCTGTTAATAATCACTCTCCTTGGTTTGGGATTGGCATTTTTTTTTTAAGCTTGTCCATTGTGGAAAACAACAAGTGGGAAACTGAACACTGTATGAGCTCAATTCAGCCTTTTAAAGATGACTTAGAAAAACATAATGTTTAAAAGACATAGATAGATAGATAGATATTTAAATTCAGAGAATTTTTAAAAATGCTAGGAAAATTTGTCTCTATTTATTAATCTAATTCATTTCAGTTGACTATCTGGGCTCATAATGAAAATTCTTGGTCGGGCCCCCAACATGGCCGCAGCACGACTGAAGCTGCTACGACGGTAAATTCACCACTGCTCTATGTAACAATGTTACTAACTCTACCAGATGGTGCTGATTTCAGTCAACAAAATTCCCAATATACTACGCTAAATCAAATGATGTTCTGAAATATTTCGCAAATCCGTTTGGTGCGTAATATTTACTTTCTTTTTTTAACTGAAATAGTCTCATTTTGAATATGGTGTTACAAATCTGTGGAGGAAAAGGGGATGGGACATTAGAATCTTAACATAATTCAGAATCATGAAAAACATGGGCGGTTGCGAACCTGGGTTTTGGAGGGGGGGGGGGGTGAGTTCAACACCACTTATTGGGATTCTAATTAAGTGCGTTACTTGAATGTATGATTTGTCAAGTAACTTTATCCGATGGAAATTTCACGTCCTGCGATCAGGCTGTAGCCGCAGGGACGTCTCGTTATATAGTTTGTCTATAATAATTCCCCAGTGGATATGGTCGCGACCTACCAGAACTCATGGCCCGAGCGGAGGATGTGCGTGTTGACGTGACGTCACGGCAGGGACGCCGTCGTTTATAATGTTGTTTGTCGATTGTGTTAGTGTGTAGTGCTTGGTTTTGAGGACACTAGTTGTGGCTTTCTTTAAAATTGTAATGCACATTGTGGATTCATTGTTATTTCGTCCAAAATAGTGTAACCGTGCGCTGTTGTCAATATTCTAGACATTGGAAATATTGTATTCTAGTAGGTCATGATATTGTCCGCTATACACCCCCACCCAATGTTCCCTTTTAGCTGGGCGGCTGCGCAGCTATCTCACAGACGCCGCGCAACAGTTTCGAGTATCCACGCAGAAAATTTCCATGTAAGTTTGTGTTTATGGGCTGTAAAATTTTGCACCAAAAAAAATGATGCTGTAAAACTGTGCACACAACTGTATGAGTTTGCACACGAACCAGCAAACCCTAAAGGGAACATTGCCTCCACCCCACCCCTTTTTATTTGCTCATTGCGCCACGCGATACGCTCTCATTTGCTCGCCCCCCCCCCCTTCCTCTTTTGCGTCATCCGCACCAAATGCACACATAAAGAACGCATTTGTTACCCACCGCGCATTGATAACTTCCTCTACAAGCAGTGCTAAAAAGAAGGACGAATGAAGGCAGTGAAGATAGAGATGGAAAGGTTACAGCCATGGGGTATTCACGGGCACGATGGTCAGTCATGGCGTACACTTATTGATTTCGCTTTTTTTTTTTTAAGGGGGAGGCGGGGGTACATCCAGAACATAGGTCGACTACTGAAAAATTCACCCCAAAAAAAAAACTATTAAAATTAAAGTTACGAGTGTAAAATTTTCTCCGAAGCTAGAGTTAGAGGAATAGTCATTGTGCCGTAATAACACATAAAATAACCATTGAAAAGGGCAAAATAATAGTTTGCTAACGTTGAAAAAAAAAAAAAGAAAAATGGGTTGCTGGACATTGCATGTGAGACCAAAAAAAAAAATTAGTTACAATGTTTTAAGCTCAAAATATTATACTTTTTTTACCATATAGAAAGAAATATGGATTAGCTTTGGCGATAACTAGGAACAATGATTGTATTGCTGCCATTGCTAGTTGTTGCTGCTTTTTGTAACAAATACGTTTTTATGCACCTTGATCAGCAGCAGTAGGGCCTAAATGTTTTTCTAATGAATTTTATTGGTGCATTGCTTGTATTGGTAATTTTTCCCTTGTTTATATTAAGGTTAATTAATTTTTATTACAAAATAATTTATACGGTGTGTGTGTGGGGGGGGGGTAAATCGGAGTGAGCCTGCTGCGCTGCAAAAGAGGTTAAGAATCCCTGTCCTACAGCATTGACTAGGATAACAACCCCCCGCGGTCAACCATTTTCGTTCCATCCCACTTCATGTGGTAGGCCCCCTAGTCCCAATTCTATGACTCGCGTGTCCACATTTCGCCGAAAATTCTCACGTCGGTCATTGTGATTGCATTCGGATTCTCCTCCTTTGCGCCCTGTAACTTGATGAGAGGCCTTTTTCGGACCTCGCATACCTGTGCCTGTACTGATTCTCTCAGTGACCTTAGTTTAAAAATAAAATAATTATAACTGTTGAATACAAAAAAAATGTTAAAAATGTCTGTAATTTAGGGTTATTAAGTGAAGTTCTGTTGTAATACAAAATTCCGCTTTTCATGTGACGTCACATTGCTTGAGCGCCGCCCCCCCTCCCCCCTTTTCCACCTCGGTCACAAAAACCTGACCCCTTCCCCCTCTAGACCCGTGACGTTATTTATGGATGGCCCCATAGATTAGGCTATACATGTCGGTTTTTAACATTAAAATTAAATCTTTAATGTTGGTTTATAATTTGGTTTCTATTAGTGACAATCTGAGTAAATAATGTGTTTGTTATTTTATTTATTTTGTTTCCTTAGACCAGAAATGTATTTCTCATTTTTATTTAATTTTTTTTAATGCAAAGTACTCAAAGATTTTCACAGGATGAAATAAAAAAAATATTATTTGTTGAATAAATGAATTATAGAATGTTGAAATTATTTTTTGCCAGACTTTATGTGTAAGGGAATGGAAACTGTTCGTTCCGAAAAAACGGGTACGTACAACTAGTTACTAGTTATGTATGCCTATTGATATTAATTTAATTGATTGATCTGAGTCCTCACACTATTATAGGGATAACGATACTTGTCCACGCATCGTTCTGCGCAGTTCCTAAAATGTCGAAAAAACTTGTTCTACAATGTTGCGTACGGCTACACGGTATCATTGGAAAATTGCATACTACGTCACATTTGTTTATTAAATAATTGCTTTTCTCATCACTGACGTATCAGTTTTTGTGTTTCGGTGATATATTGATTTATGCTACGATATTTTTTGTGTATCACGGACAGTATTATTATAATGACTCGGTAGGTTTATAAATCACCCAAAAAACATTTTTGTTTGTAATTTTAGGCAAAAAAGGTTTAGTTGAGTGCGAACTACATTCATTGTATAAGTTTTTTTCCTTTTTTGAGTTATTATCATGACTTTGCCCCTGAAAAGTTATGCATCTCCCAATGGAGTGGGGGTATGAAAATGTCCCAAAATTAATTTTTGTTTTTTTATCGAGAAATCGAAAATGACTATCATTACTGTCAATTATGCAGTGATTTGTTATTTTTAAATCCTTAAACTTTTAACATCTGAATAGTTTAAAATAAATAATTTTACCCCCCAAAAATTAAGAAAAGATTATAATTATAACCAAACTTGAAAAGGTTTATGTAGTGACCAAGGCTTGATTTTAAGTTTTATTTATTTATTACGTTAAAAATTGTGTGCACCGGTACTCAGTTTATCGTTCTTCAGTCAGTTAGTTCTTCATCATTAAACAATACTTATTCGGGAGAATATTACTTAAATTAGGCATATACATCAATAATAATTATAAACAACAGTAATTATAATCCTATTGTCTATTTAGGCCTTAGTTTAATTATTAAGCCAATATTTTTCACTTATACTTATTCTATTAGTATATATATTTAGTTAAGCCTATGGCCTATATTATATACTGTCACTTATACTTATTATTAGGCCTACTTTGACTTCTTATTATCTGACTGTCAACTTAATGATAATTAATAATGTCAAGTTGAAATAGTTAATAAAATAAAAATTAAGTCAATAAGTGTAAAGGCTAAAAGTCAAATAATTATAAGAATATTCATACAGTATTAATTATTATGTATAATTGTAGATAATTTGACAGAAAATTTAAATCTTGTCTGATTGCCATAAAATAAATGATACATGCCTATGCCTATATACTAATGTATATAATATATATTTTACCCAGAAAACTTGTGACGCACTTCTCACATTTCTGGACTATTTTTTCCCACAACTTTTTTTTTATTTTTAAAGATAATTGTACAACATATTTTCAGGAGCCATTCTCAATCAATAAAAGTTTCACATTGAATACATTTTTATTGTGTATAATTATTATTTTAATATTATTATTGTAGGAAAGTTTATAATCCTGGAAATAAATCGAATTTCCACAAAAAATATAAATTAAAAAAAATTTAAAAACACAAATTGCAGATTTATTCCATTTTAAAGTAATAACATCAAATAAATTTTAAATTTTAATTATAATGTTTAAAATATTAAATATTAATATGAGGGAACTTGAAAAAACCTGAAAAAAAAGTTTGAAAATAAATTTAATACAATAGTTGACAATACATTTTAAAACAATATTAATATTAACATTTACCAGTTGA